GTTGGCACGAATGGAGCAGAAACATACTCTTCTTGATCATCTGCTTTAACCCTGTCTTTCTTTTGAATTCGGTTTGTTCAGTTTCATGTTTTCTGAGCTTTGTTTTAGAGAGCTGTACGTCTTTTTTATGCAAAACACAGAGGTTTTTCTATCCGATTGCATGAATGGCAATTGCCAAATGTAATAAATAGATATACGAAATTGTGGTATGAGTGCCAATGAGACAACTCTCCATCCTAATCACAATTTGTAAAAAGTAAACCATCATAGGTCAAAGTACGGCCTGCAACACGGAGCTTTGGCTCACAACGAAGAGCAAGCTATTTAAGAACGTTTTGGGAAATTGTGGCTATAAATTTTGGATTTCATTTAGAGGTTTAACTTTTAACAAGTGTAATGTAAACGTGTATAGCGTATTATATAATAGCCTGGTATTGTTTATATTGTGTTTTCAGTATGTGGTGAAGGTGTAATACGAACTCGGAATTTGAATTGAGATATACAAATTGCGTTTGAGGTTTGACTGATTTCAATGATAAATGATATACATAAAATTATTGGCACTAGGGATTTGATGGCAAAATGAAATAATAGTCAACTACAATGAAATGGTTCAAATGAACAAAAGACATATGAAGGTCTTCATGAAGTCTTCATTAAAAATGAGTGTCCCTTACATCATTAACAATACCAATGATATTGCCACAGATGCGTAACTTGACAATCGATGTTTCTTCAGCAATGATTAAGGCCAAATTATTTGAAGATCAAAAACCTAATACAAATGTCGAATAAATGATTAAACAGAAATGAACCGAAAGTAAATCCTGAATCATATATATTCCCAAAATTCGAAAAATGTTAACGAACCATAGTTTTTGGGCATGTCATTACTGCGTAACATGTCAATGATATGAAAATAAAATATCTAAGTCGTTGACTTTCTTCCTCCAATACTTGAATATCTTGCAAATATAAGGATAGGTTAGAAAAGACATGCTTGAAAAAAACAATCATTTATTGTTTTATTTATTACAATTAGGTTTTATTTTCTATGAATTCGAAGTCCTGTTACAAACAAACTTATTATAGATAACAATATCAAAAGTTTGTAATCCGGGCGCGCGTTTTGTCAGCAAACGACTTAACAGTTTGAAATTCTGTCGACAGAAGTTAAATACTATAACCATTTCACATGGCTAAGTTGATTTGTCGTATATATCAGTAGTCATGCTTTGGTCGTGATTTTTATATGACATGTATGAATAATTCCCTTCAACCACTGAAAAAGACGTGTCATATAATTCGTTTCCATTATTGCGATTTCCTTTCCCAAATGCTGCGCTATCGTATGTGAGGCCATCTTCATTTCGATGTGCACCATGACTATAATACACATTTTCTGTCGGGCACATTGTTCTATTTTTTTTATCATGTAAGATATCATATTCTCCATCGGCTGCGTCATGATAGGCCACGTTCATATTTTCCAGTGAATTTAAGTTTTCTTCAACGGAATATCCTGATGTGCCCGTTTCACAAATGTCATGTATCTTCCTATTTCTGGTATTAGTTGAATCTTGGTTGATTTTCTTTGAAAAATTCAAATGGCTAGTTTCTCCTTTTTCAAATGTATTATATGGTTTAAAGATTCTCTTTGACCTAAAAACAAAAATTAGTTATTGAACAAACAAAATTTCAATTACAATTAAATAAATTGATAAGATAAGATCAAGAAGAAAGTAACAAATAAAAATATACTGTATTTGGTTTACTTATAACGATTTTTCAAATATAGCTGTAAACCACAATGCCCACGTAAATATCTATCCTTTTGGCCAGGATGTGGTCCATCTAATCCAATTGCATTTGTGCCATGTGTGATTATGCTTTTGTTTTTTTGTCGTCACATTAACTAGTTTTGCTTCACGTCTAGAAAACCAATAATATGGATATATATATTTAAGTAATTCCAATGTTTTGTTTACAATATGCAGATTGAACGTATCTTTTTGAAGATAGAAATTGCAACAAATAATGCTTCTGTGGATTGTTCATTTTTCGTGGATTTTGTGGGTAACGGTAAACTACGACATTAAATGTTAAAGGAAGTACAAATTTTCCATATGCTTGTATGACGACTGTGAAAAACAAACCCTGCAAAAAGCACTGTCCGACCACTCATATTCTGTCATTCTTAAGTCAAGTGCTGGCAATATCTTCAGATATCAAAATGTTACCCACCTTATTTTGCATACAATCAATACAGCCGATACAGCAAATATAGAACAAGCACCTAGAATTCCACCAATCACTGCACCTGGATGTATTAATTAAAAATAAGCTACATGTTACACAGATAATAATACTTACCACGACAAATTTGAATTCAAATAGTTGACATGCAAAAAATCGGATATTAGGCATATATTAATGTGACAGCAACCCTTTTCACAAAATATAAACAAACAGTTTTTCAACAGCAAACAATCGACTAATATTGTTTATCAAGATATCAAGATCACATCAATTAAAAATAGCTTCCCTAAAATTTGTCTGTTTTTTCTTAAATCTTAAACCATTTATATGAAAGACAGACACATTTCGGAAGCTAATTTACATCATGTCTTCAGTTTTCTAGATAATTGATATGTTTGTTCATGAAATATTGGAAGCTAAATAATCAAACTTGGTATAGACATTTAAGACAGCAAACCTTTGTAATATTATATGTTATTCAGGTCTCAGACAGGGTATATACTTTGACATTCCCGTCTTGGAGTTTATATCCCCTGAGCCGAAGTCGAAGTCTTAATGTTTTTTCCAGTGCAGGTATTTGTTAAACATTCACAATGCAGCATGTTTATTCATTACATGTTTATTGTTTCTTAATATATTGAGTAATCCATTTAAATGCACCCTTTTTTATATCGACAATTTTTATTCCGTTAAGAAAATGTTTTCAATAAAGTTTTTAGATTTCATGTTTTGTGTTTGCATGTGTTTATGGCAAATATTGAAAAAAAAAGCAACCCGATATGTTCCGCATAAGTGAAGGATTTTGTAATTTGCGGTGAAAATAATTTCATTGTGCATGTAATAATTTATAATAACACTTTAAAACATTACATTTAAGTATTTGAAGTGTAAATTGTGTGATGTTGTATTAAAAATGTATTATTGACGGCTGCACGTCATTATTTTCCCTCTGTGAGTCGCTGACATTCCTTAATGTTCTGTATAGCTTTCGACTACGTCACATAGTTACAGGTGTTATGATGCGTTTTTGAGGTTCCAGTTTGGGATAAAAACTTCGTATATACCCCGGCAGTTCCTTGAATATATGCTGACATCTGTGTGTTGTTATCTAATTACAAAACACTACACATTTGTAATCCGTAATATAACAAGTTACCTAAATCCTTGCTGGAAAATATATATATATATATCAAATGCGTTTTGTAAAAATATATTTTTCACTTTTTGGTCTTTTGGAAAATGTTGTTTGCGTTGATCATTTTTTATTTCTGTCTTTGTACTAACCAGGGATGCTGAAGTTGCATACACAATGTAAAAATAGCTTTTTGTTTTAGAATTAAAACAAGTTAAAACCAATGTTATGATGGTAGATTATTAGAAAATGAGAAAAATTTATGTATTAGGAAGAATTATATGATTTAACGTATTATTGGAAAATGGATAATAAATGAAATAAATTACATACAAATTGGATTTATTTTTTATTTGAATAAAAAAATTTCGTGTGTTAACAAAACTAGAGAACATTGATTACTTGAATTAAGGGTATTTAGTTGTTAACATCAATTTTAAAATTTAAACAAACACGCTAGATACCTACAAGGAAGTCAAGCTCCACAACTCAAAGATTTAATGAAAATATATTCAACGGAAAATTGTGGTTTTAAGGGTTAATACATTTTAAAATGTAGACACACAGTCATGTAAGATACATACGAAGCAATCAAACTTGGATAAATACCAACGTAACCAATAGAAGAAATATAAAAAGATAGAAAGGACATTCGACAGTTTATTAAGCGCCGCACATGTATCTAACAAATCTTCAACTTTGCTCCACAAGAAATCGGGATGAACTCAAGTGATCCGTAGGACTAAGCAGTCCTGAGTTTTCGTGGTTGCACAAGTCGGAGTTTGTGATCAGGTATAATTTATTTGTTAATGTTGTTCATGAGTCGTAAACGAAGAGGGAATACTCCGATACCTAATCGTGTTTCTTTTGGTTCAACAAAGATGTGCCGAAATTAGTGAATAGAACTAAAATTTTCGTCGTAGGCGCTTTTCTGAACTTCCCTTGATCAGGAAAGCCGAAACTTTACAATTTGAAAGACAAGGACGTATACTTGATGAGCTATTTTACCTAACGGGGACGTTACGTTTAAGTATGTGAACTTTGAATGAGTGAGTTTGAGCATTACTTTCTTCATAATTTCTTGTTTTTTCGACAAACATTTAAGAAAGGATATGTTATCAGTCTTGTCGAATCCCGATGCACTGACTACTAACATCATGTGACCATTTAAGATTTTTGAAGCCGCAACTAAACTTGGAAAGAGATGACTATAGCTTTACAACTTCAAACATTAGTTTGTATTTAGTTTTGCAATAAGGAGGACTTATATAATCTCTGAAAACAAATATGAAAGTTGGACCTACATTATTGAATATCACTATGCATCATGACCATAGTTTGGCGTTTTTCTCTCTTAGTTTGTAATTATATTTATAATATTGATTATAACACAAATGTATGACTATTTATCGAAGTTTAAGTTTCATGTTAAAACAACCTAAGAGTTCAGATGCTGCTCCTGACTTTGGTTTTTTTGTTGTTATTTTCCCGTTTTCTTTTTTTACTGATAACTTCATTCTCATTAGGATTATAACGTCTGCCATTGTTAGCTTTTCTATCATTATATATTAATCAAATAAAGCAACACATACCAGTTGATTGAGAACTGTTTTTTTCTTTATCGTGTGTAAACGATGGGTCCGGTGAAGTGTTAACTTGTTCATCCTTGCTTACATTGAATGTATATGAAGGACTTTGTGTTTTGCTTTCTCTTTCTATGGTTGCAACTGTCAACAAATTGAAAAAAATATTTAAAAATATTTGTCGTAGTTGAAATCTTCATTTCACATGTAAATACGAACAAATATGACACAAATCGACAGAGACATTTAATAAATTCGCCAAAAACAAATGAACTTCACAGGAAACTCGACAGCGAATCTTTTACTTTCTTTTGTTTCTGTAAATTGGTGTTTTGCAGGTTTTAGTCAGTTATGCACGAATTTTCTAGAAGTGATTAAGAGATTGAGGTATTGTACAGGCCCTGAAATCATGCAACACTTATAACAACAACGTCCTGTTACTCATAAGTACACATTAGTGAGTGCCATTTTCTCATATATCCAATTGAACCTGAAATGAATTAAGGATACCACCAAAAGCAGAAGGTCTGCTTCATATCTTGATCTCTTCCTTAATATTGACACAGATGGACAATTTTAATCTAAAATCTATGATAAACGTGATGGTCTCAACCCATGTCTCTGCAGTAGCATACTCTCTGTTATATCATAGTTCGTTTACATATCTCAATTAATACGCTAAGCAAGTAAGTGTTCTCTATATACGGACCTTATTTACAGGGGTGTGCTCCTTGCATAAAATCGACTCCAACACAGTTACGACGAAGCTTGACTAAAATGGGCACTACACTACGTTTACGGTCACAATCACAAATTAGTGATTGATACAATGTGTATATTACTCAACATACAAACGACATGTTTCGCAGTCTTGGATATTAACACAAATCGTCTGGTTTGTAAATTTATTCCTCCGACTGTCACATGTTCAATGAGGATGGATTAGAATGGAAGGCGGTGCATGAATCATAGGATACGCTCAACCTGTTTGAGCCCCAGGAATTGCTTCTTTTTGGAGTTAATGCAATTCCTTCATTTATTTATTTTGATTTGTACCTTTTACGTAATTTATGGAATTTGAACATCGCGGTAAGCTTCTGTATCCTAGTATTCTTTGTATCGTTGTTTTCATCCAGAGACGATTTTCACATAGTATCATGTTGGAATTTATAACTTCATGTGCTGTTTGTAAAAATCAGGTACAGTTTTGAAGAAATATCAGAAACGGTAGTGTAATCAATTTGAACTAGATGCTTTCATAAATTACATTCATACATCATGATGCTGGTTCAATTAGATTTCAAGCATCTCACAAAAGGATAAGAGGAAAATAGTCATGTTTTTATTTTATCATTATGTGCTATCATGATGCAGCAACTTAGCAAATTAGAAATCAAGCGAGATTTACATATATTGCAATATTGTTTACTAGCCAAAACGTTTTGAATTTATCCATTTATTTATAAAAAATAAATTTGAATTTATCGAACAAACTTACTCGTTTTGCATATATACCATGTTATATTTTTGCTGCACTCTTGTTCTGTCATATTAAGTACTATTTTTCCTTCCACTGGGATAAATACTCCAGAAAAGCAGCGTTCGGGTTTGTCATAAAAATCTTCATTAATGAATAAAACAGTTTTAGAGTTCGAACAATACTGCTCATTTTCATTTCTGATTTATTTATAGATAATTTTGTTTTGCAAATTCATGAGGCAAACGATCAATTATCCATAATATACTATTAAATTAGATAATCGATAAGTCTTCAAACAGTTTGGCACTGACCCGTGTTTGCAACATTTTGTCATTGAAAACCGAGGTGATATTCCACTGTTGTTTTGTTTATTATGTTTTTTTTCTCATTTTGATTATGTTTCCGGTGTTGTAGCAACAATTTAGTAGTTGTTTCTAATATTGGCTCAATAATGAATGACAGTGTGATGGTTTTACCAGAACGAATCTCTATCAATTAAATAGATCTAATTTTCTATGATTCTGGTTTTATACATGTATAGCACATTAAAATTCATCGTACCGATATTCATTTTCACTTCATCATTTGAACTCACAACCATGGGTTGAAATACATGAATGAATCAATATTTGTTCTTCTACAATATGTGCAATTTATGGCTAAGGATACCAACATTTTGATCAACACAAATTGCACTCTCGTCCTACATCTACATCTACATGGGTAATCCGTAAAGAGTCGGTTGACTCATCACACGTCTTAGAAACATTTGTTTGTGAAAAAAATCTTGAAGATAACAAGACGAATTATTGAATTCTCTGTTATTTGGATTCAAATGACAGTTGGAATGAAAGTTCAATATTATCTTAGAAAAAAATAATGTGCTCAATTGAAGATAAAGTAAAGGTTAATTAGAATTCACAAAATATTATTCCGACGTAGCAAAGCGATATCAAATGTAAGCGTGAAACGTATTCTCAAATTAGAATGAACAGTAAGAGATTTAAGAATATAACGAACAGTGTTTAAATAATAGCGTTTGTTAGTTTTTTTTTCATATTTTGGAACACATTTGTACTTTTCGAATTATTGACTACTGTTTCATAGATAGTGTTTCATATTGAAGAATAGTATAACGTGATATCGCAATTTTGCATGATGGGTTGGATTCGTTTTGCTGATCATCTTTTCACGGAAAAATAAAACTAAATAGTATTTCATAAGGTGGTTTGCATTTCTGCATGGATAAATCCAGAATTGTTGTCGTACATTACTTCAAATTATACCATTTGAGTAATAAATATATGCAGCAGGTTTATTTTATTTTGTTAATGTAAAACAAGTGTAAAGATTGCAACATAACGTTCCAGCATGCATTATTTTTGACTTTGGGTTGGGTTTTCTTTCAATTTTTTTTTAAAACGGAAAAAATTAACACGTCATAATTTATAGTTCGTGTATTCCTTTTAAAGATTACTATTTATGGGTGCACATTTTTTCACCATTAATGTTTTTTTCTCTTGCAATGACCAAAATTAAAAGGAAAGTGTTTACTTCTAAAAACTAAGATCAGTAACCAATGATTATCTTTATCCATGTTGTAAATAATGCGATAGCTATAGCTATTGCTAAAGTTTACCAATGTTCACATCTTGGTAACGTTTATAGATAAGATATGAAAATAATGAATACATTGATAGCCAGCTACTTCACTTATGTTCAGTTTGTCAATCTCGTTTTTATATGAGGAAACATGCGTTGCTAATAATAAGACTCATAGAGTGTTTGACGACGACACAATGTGTATGAAGACAATTCACTCTTAAAGGTCTTGATGTAGACTTGTTTTGTATGTTTGTGGATAACAAATAGATCGTAAATTAATACTGATATTGATGTTTGCTGCTTCTATGCAATGTGCGCTTTCAAGAGAATGGGCCACAATTGGTCAATTTGGACAAATTGAATTCGAGCTGTTAGAAATTCACACATTTACCTTGGTTTCTAACAACTTCAACTTCTTCACGAAAGACATTTATCCAGGAAATTTGTCCCTTCAAACCACTTTGTTTTCCGTTTTGTTGACAATAGTTGAAAGATGGCAGTAATTCATTTTTTTTCATGCAATAATCCAAGCTTCCGAAATAATCTAGTTCCCATGTAAATGATAGCTTAGGTCGTCTACCTAGTAATTTAAAAAAAAATACGTTTATTAAGTAATGTAGATGTTAGATAATCAAATATGTTTAGCATGCACAAACGAAATCAATATATTTTTTATGTTTCAAAAATACAGCTATAATGTTAGCAAAATAATTTTCCTATATAAGTTTACATTAAATTCCAGTTGATAATATGCAGGTAAAAAACTTCATGAACTCGATAATCGAGCATTGAAATTGACGAAAAGAATACATGTATTTTTTTTTCACGTCATGATCACAAGTATCTAACAAAACAAAAATACCATACGCTTCAACACGTCAATATTGTATACTCAATTTGTAGATATTGAAGCTAGTTCATATAAATTAATTGAACTGTATAAGATATAAAATTCATCCACATAATATCAACATTGCAAAGCCAACGTCAATATACTGAGTCACCTGTCTGATCGTTAAAAACATTGATCTTATTTGTATGGCCGGCCAATGATAGTAAGAATGGTCCTAATGTTTCCGATTTGTCCGTTCGTCCATTCCAGGTTAGGGTTTGGTTTATGATTGTTTAATTTAAACATATTTCATTTGCTAAATTAAAGCAAAACGGATTAGACAAAAGTAATCATACTAATGAAGTCCTTTCCATAATACAATACGAATATATACAATAATAGTATAATGAGCATGCATGTATAGCAAACATTTATGGAATCTTATACGAGCTATAAGTAAAAGGGAAGAGAATAGAAAGATAGATGGATTGAAAAGTCATATAATACTGTTGACGTGGGTGTTGGTGATGATGTCGATGATGATGTTGTTCCGTGTCAGTATCAATAACGCTTTATGAGGGTCAAGAAATCTGTTTTACCTTTTGATGAAATTTCGGATATTTTGTTCATTCGAATGTTCAAAGTTTCCGCAAATTAATAGATTTGTATCTAAATCAAATTTTTCGGAGAGCGAATTAAGAATATTGAATAAAGTTTCCCTACATGAAGTGTGTTTTGAACAAATGGAAAAGTAATAGTGAACATTCTCAATATCTTGCTCACATTGACAAGAAGGATCATTATAATTTTAGCTCGAAAATGGTCATAGTTTAAGAATAAAGCGGAACATCGCAATTGATTTAAAATAATGTTTAATTTCCTTTGACCGTACAAATGAAACATAACTCAGGAGACGATCGTTTTTCAGTTCTTTTTTTAAATTTAGATATAGAGTCTATGCTGTAAATTTTTGGACCAAGCTTATTCCACTCACGTATTGTGGAGGGAATAAACGATTCAGTTATAACGGAAAGAAATTCTACAAAATTGAACAATAATATCATGATCATTTCGCAACGGAAAGTTGGTTGTACTTCGTACTCATGAAGGAACAAGATTATATAGGTGCTCTGGTGCATGTTTTTGATTCATATTATAAAACATTTGAAATTTTCATCATCTTCTTCTTTCAAAAATAGATTCTTAGTCAACACCAGAGTACAAGGTTTCAGTTTTAGTGAAAATTGGTAGACCGGATACAATTCGTGCGGCTAAAAATGGGTCCAACAAAAACTAGGAACAGTTTTTCTAAATTGCTTCAGGATAGACTGTATTGAAGTTTACGCAAACTTTTTAGTATTTCTTTACACTTGTATCTATACTTTCAATATGATTGTTCCATTTGCGTCACTACTGAAAATAACTCCCAGTTGCTAATGAGATATACTTAAAAGGAATTATAACCTTTTAAGGAAAAGCTAAAAAAAAAGGGACGAAAGATACCAGAGGGACAGTCAAACTCATAGATCGAAAACAAACTGACAACTCCATGGCCAAAAATAAAAAGACAAACAGACAAATAATAGTACAGAAGACACAACATAGAAACTAAAGACTAAGCAACACGAACCCTATCAAAAACAGAGGGGGTGTGATCTCAGGTGCTCCGGAAGGGTAAGCAGATCCTGCTTCACATGTGGCACCCGTCGTGTTGCTCATGTTATTACAAATCCGATAATTAGTCTTATTCGGTAGGTCACATTCGTGAAAAGGGATCGAGATTTTAGTTATGACATAAGGAACATATCCGATATCATCTGTGAAACGGATATTCCATAACGGTCAATTAACTCGTGATGGAGTCCGTAAAATTTACGAATTGATGATTTCAACTTCACCATTCAGAATTCTCGGATTAAAAATGAAAAGGTCACAATTGGGAAGCCGAAATCATCTCTTTTGATTTGAAAAGTCTGGAATCTCAATATTTGAGAAAATCATAATTTAGGTTTTATCAGGGTTAAATGACACAAGCCATTTGCTCTTTCAGATAGCGGTCGATAACAGATCTCATCCATTATTCATCGTTACCAGAATAACTGAATGACGTGTCATCAGCAAATTGCCGACTCCGTGATGTAAGCTTATCAGCAATATCATTAATATATAAGACAAAGAGAAGAGGCCTCAGAATGTATCTCTGTGAAACACCAGCTTAAACATTACAAAAGGAAGGAGACGTATTATGTTATACTACTCTCTGTTTTCAATCACGTAAATAATCTTCAAACCAGTGTAATAGATTTCGTCAATAACTTTGTTGATGATGAGGTTTCAAATACATCCACTTGCAACTATGAAAACATGCCAATTATGATGTTAGCTTTAAAAGATATTTTCTTTATGTAAGGATTTGATTTAGATTTTGCAATAAACTGAACAGTAAAATGTGAAAGCATGAGTTCGGCATACATGTAGTGTTCTGGGGACTGCCATTGTAAGTTTGAAGCAATTTGGATTTATATAGGAAATAATCAGATGCGGTGTTTAACAAGACTATTGAATTTCAGACACTGTATCACTCATATAAAAGAGAGGCGAAAGATACTATATAGACATTTAAACTCGTGAATGGAAAATAAACTAACAACGTCATGGTTGAAAAAGAAAAAGACAAACAGACAAACAGGCAAATAGACTAACAGACAAACAACAGTACACAAAACACAACATAGAAAAACCAATGACTGAGCAACAAGAACCCAACCAAAAAATGGATGAGATTTCATGTGCTCCGGAAGGGTAAGCGGATTCTGCTCCACATGTTGCGCCTATCGTGTTGCTCATGTAAAAAGAAACCCGTTGATAAGTCTAATTCGGTAGGTCATATTTGGGGGAAAGGGAGCCGTTTAACATCACAATATATAAAGTTTATTTGAGACATAACAATGTACAAAGTTTATTTTAAAACAATTTACAAAATATGTATATGGTTTTATTGAACAACAATACTTCAACGAAACACGCCGTCTATATAAGGCGCATCTGTGACGTTCTAATCTAGACATTTAAGTGATCAAATCAAATGCTACGTTAACAAGCACTGAAAAACAAAAACTCCGAAAAGTTGTGCAAAATATGGTTAAGGATACTGTTAATACAATAGAAGAGAGAATAGAAACAAGGAATCTTTTAAAGTGATAACAAACCTTTCAAAGAACAAAAAAACAATGGTCTTTAAATAGTGCGACAATCCTACTGCCGGAGTCGGGTTAAAGCTGACCCCTAATCAATAATGTATATTAGTTCAACGAAAAGGACGCCACACTAAACTACGAAACATAAAAATGAACCAAAATTTAAAAATACACACAAGACTAACAAATTCTAGAGGTTCCTGACCTTGGGAAAGATACAAAAATTCAGCGGGGTTAAACATGTTTTGTGATATATCAACCATTCCCCGATACATCTAGCCAATGTGGAATAAACACACACACATACAGTGATATTCACGGCTATTTCATCCTTCGACATAAACGACTTCAAAAAACTTATAGTTTAGTAGCATTTACTTATATATTTAACATAACGGTACTGATGCTATACATACTGTTAATATTTTCCACAAAAGTTGACCAGAATCAATACTTGCTCACTTTAGATATATCACGTTCCTACAAAACACCCATTGCATCCAAGTTTTCTCTCTCAGAAGCGTTAAAAGAACAAATGTTCTTAAGAATATAAATTTTAAACTTCAAAACTTTTTTTAATCTCATCCACAGACAAATACAGTCCTACGTATTATGTTATTAGAGGAAACCTCAGCATAGTGGATAATGAACATGTAATAAACAAAAACTTAAGGTTACTGATGGATGCAGTTGAGAACTTTATTTGATAGAAAGACGACAACAGTGTGCCCTTTATTACATACGCATATGTCGCACACAAAAGAAACCACAGCATGATAATAAAGATTTTGCACTAAACATTTAAAAATTTTGTCCGTCCGATGCGCTTTTCTGTATTTAATTTCACTAGGAACGCTTTAACCCAAACAATGAGAGTCCAAGGATGTATAAATATTCGAATACATGCAGAGTTCGGTGTGAGCCTAGGCTCTTTACTTTTATAATTGTGACTTGGATGGAGAGTTGTCTCATTGACACTCATTGACACCACATCTTCCTTTATCTATTTACATTAACAAAGGGACCTTTATTGTAAAGCCAAATGCTCCTTAGATCCATTTTGAATTAATTCCTTAATGATTTCTAGATTTATCAATGCAGAATTTATAAGAATGTCCTGTCACTCAATACTCACATTTTATTGAATACTTGAATATTATATATACATTTAAACTTTACCGTACGTGGCAAAACAAGAGTGTTAGACAACTTCACACTTGGTTCTCTTACAATAAAATCATTTTAAAAAGGGAACAAGCCATTTTGTATAAAAACAGAAATATAAACTGGTCATAACAAATTGTTTCTTCGGTCTTTTAATCGATTTTGACAGATTACATAAGACTACGCTACAATAACGTAAACAAACACACTGATGAAATGTTCGAACAGTTTAAAATATTCAATGTCTCTACTAAAGATTGTGGCAGTGATTTTACAACTAATATACGTTAATATCGTTGTAACAAACATAAATCAATCAAGGATAATGTAGGGTCAAGCTTATTAATTAAACT